CTGGCTAGGCAGAATAAGAATCAACAGCTCTTTTTCGAATCTGGTCTTTGACTGACCTGGAAACTTTAGTGCATACACTTGCATTCTGCATTCACTCTAATAGGTGTCATAGGGATCGCTAACATGAGGCCTCTCTGTGATGTTGGGTCAAACTTGATAGGTCACACAGACTGCATTTTGATAACAATTCTGAACTCGCATTGGATTGCTAATGTAACACTGTACTTATGTTTCCCCATGTTTGCACCTGCTGTGGACTCCATTTTGTGACATGTAGTAATAAAGCGACGTTTCTCAGATTTGTTGTTTCAATCAATCTGAAGGCAGGGATATTCATCAAACCAAGTGGTTTTCCTGATTCTTCTTCCCAGAGAGAACATGGATCAACAGCTGTTTTTCAAATCTTGTACTCCACTGATTTGGAAACTTGGGCTTCTGGGCCCCCACTCTCACCTTAATCTTTACCTTCGTCGATATCTATGGCCGAGTCCCCAAGGATTGAGGGATTGTGATCATTTTTCCTATATATAAAAAAGGAAAAAAGGATGATCCTGCTAATTATAGACTGATCAGCCTCCTCAACACAATCAGCAAACTCTGCCAGATACCTACAGTACATTGGAAATTCCAGGACTGGCTGGAACAAGAAAATGTACTTCCAGAGGAGCAAGCCGGCTTTAGAGGAGGCTGATCCACCATTAATCAGTGCCTAGTACTCCAACATTTCATTGAAAAATACTCCTTCTGCAACACAACCTCCCTTTATGCTGCTTTCATAGACTTCAAAGCAGTTTTTGATACCATATGCTATGGTAAAAACTGCAGGCCTCCTCTATTGACTGATGTTTATTTCATTTAATATGTATGCTCCATGAAGGGACCTCACTCAAAGTAAGATGTGACCCCCAAGGCCATCTCAACAAAGCCATTGGAACTGAGAAAGGAGTCAAGCAAGACTGCGTATTGGTCCCACTCTTATTCAGTTTGAATATCAACTCCATAGTGGGCCATCTCCTCAGCACACTCCTTTCACTCCCCAAAATGTGCTGGAAGGCACATCTGTGTTCTACTTTCTGCAGATGATTCAGCAATACTTTCAGTAACATCTATTGACCTTAAAAGAATGCTAACCCAGAACTGCAAGGAAGACCAGCTAGAACTCAATTATCAGAAAACTAAATGATGGCATTTGCCAAAAGGCCCAAGAGCCACTCCTGGAGCATAGATGACACAAGACTGAGCAGGTCTCCTGTTTCAAATGCCTGGGAGCAGTCCTACATTCTGCCAGCAGTAGGAAAGCCCATGGGGACTACGTTGCTGAAAATGCACAGAGGAGCTCATCTGCCATCCTTAAATTCCTCAAGACAAGAGGTGGCCGCTATATTCCTGGAGCACTCAAATTATCTGAAGCCAAGCACAACTTCTTTACGGTGCCCAGCTGGGCCCCTTCTCCAATTTTTCACCATTAGAACTTGTACAATCCAAAGATTGGCCCTTCAAGTCCCAAAATGTGTCTCTAATGCCACCCTGAGACTAGAGACAGGTCTCATGAATGTGGAGGCTACAGTGTGGGTGAGCATAGTCAACTATTGGCTAAGATTATCCTTTTTTTTCCCTTGGCCTTACCCATTAACTATGAGGGATGATTTTCAGTCCACATGGAAACAGGCAGTAGCAACTAAAATCTCATCCTTGGGCTTCTCTCCAGGTCTTCTACTCAGCATCAGGCCAAAGCACTCATTAAACAGCATGTAGCACACACAGAGCGCCAATTGGATCTAGCCAGGTCCCCAACCTTTATTGCCAGTGAATTCAACAGGTACAGCTGTTTGTACAGCTGTTGCAGATTGTGATATGTTCGCCAGCTTTGGGGAGTGGTGAGAGAGATTATTCAGTATGACAACTAAATATTTATTTAGTTATTAAATTTATAAAGCCCCCCATCTCATGACAAGTGACTCTGGGCAGTGTATGACAAAGCTAAAACGGGTAGTTATTAATCTTTGAAAATGTTATAATATGACATCTACTAGTCTCTAATTCTCAGCAGCATTAGAGGAATGTGATGTGTTTGAAAGTGAGGAGTGCTCTAATAAATATGACACGGCTAGGTAACCATTTGATTGCTGTGAGAAACTTTGTGAGTGCAGCAGTTAGGTAAGCAAATGGAAAATAGCCCTCCTGGAGGGCCCCCTGCCCTGATTGACTTTGGCCCCTCCATCTGCAGCATAATTCTGTCTGGCTGAAAAGTTCACCCATTGGTGTCTCTGAATGTGTGAAGGTTATATGTCTAAGGGAATTATAGTAAAACCTCCTCAGTGCTATAATACTGCCCTCCCATAGAGGTTAGGGAACTTTTTCACTGTTGGTGTTATTATTAAACAGTGTGCCATCAGAAAACCTGTCAGGCAATTTAAAGATTAACTGTTCTCTCAAAGTTTTTAAATAATCAGTTTTGTTATTGGCCATCCAATATTATTGTTTGTGCAGTCGGGAGGCAGTCCTGGGCCACTAGTTCCAGGCCTGGTGTTTGAAGTCTTGATTCATTTTCTGGCTCTGACTGGAACTTGCCTTCCACAGCTGCCAAGTCCTTGCTCTCCCGGTCAAGCAAAGCATTGCTGTTAGTGGAGCAAAAGTGACTACTCACTTGGCAGATTGTTGTATTGTAAAATTGTACACTCTCAATTGTTGGCTGGCTGAGATGGCTAATCCTTTGCCTCATCCTTTAGCACTTCTGGTTTTGCTTGAGATTTTAGGTTTGGTTTTCAAGCAATTCCTTCTTCACTGGTCTTTCTCATCCAGACTTCGTTATCTGCTCAGCACCAACCAGAGGATTATTGCTCATAAATCTTGCCAGGAGACACACCCAGCAGTTGGCTGACAGTAAGAGGCAGAGTTAGCAATGCTATTAATCAATATATAAAAAGATAAAAAGGTAAAAGAGGAGATATGGGCCATATATATGTATGTATAAAAACAAAAAATAAAAGGGTAAAAGAGAATGAGGAGTTTGAATTCAGAATTATTCACCCAGAGTTGTTCACACATAGTTACTACTGTACATTAATTGGTTTATAGTGTGTCTTAGAAAAAAGCAATTAACTTTTTCCCCAATTAAATATGATTAGAATTAAGCTGTAATGATTTATTACATTAAATACAGAACCAGTTTTAGATACATCCAGACCCTAGCAGACTTGGACAGTTGGACCTGTCCAGTCCAGGACTGACAATCACTCATTCGAACTGGTGGACTCAGACAAGGGAGAGAGGAATCTCCCCAAAACTCACTAGCTCTCCCCACAAGAGTTGCCTCCTTTAAGATATTTGTTGGTTGTGAATGCAGCCCGTTAGGGAAAGAGGCCTGTCACAGACACAAGGCAGATACCTCCGGCTTATTCCTTTGCTGGATACAAGGCGAAAAAAGGACTATTTTAAAACTAGGGGCAGAACTGCAGAAGTGGTGAACCAAGACATGAGGAAATGAGGGAAGTAACATTGTTCCCCATAGTCTCTGGTTAAAATTTGGGGATTTTTAAGAAGCTGAAACAGTCCAGGTAATTGAAGCAGAAGAAACATCTGATCTGGAAATCTTTTATTTCTGTAGGAAGAGAAAGAGATCCTAGTCAGTGTTCTGTGCTGGGCTTAATTTGTTTTCTGTGTGGTGCTAAGTCATGCCTCAAAGTCTAACTGTTACTTATTTCTCGCACAGGCTAGTGAGTTGTGTGTAATTTCAGCCTGTACCCATTTTCAGGTATAAGATACTAATTTTAAAAAACAATCTTCTTATGCTCTGTTATAATTTGGATCCCGCTCCAATCTCTTGACAGCAAGTAAGCATCAGCTTTCCTGAGCTGCAGATGAAGGGCATCTAATGAATGAGCCGTAGCAGACGAAAGCTGGTGCGTCGCGGGCATAACCTGCGCCGGGGGCAGGTTCGTAAAAACCGCCGAAAGCCTCTCTGTCCTCATCCGCCGCTTCAGTTTCGGGAGGGCGATCCTTTTACTGATCGGCGTCCGCTCCCGCTTGGTGTAAACTGCTCCGGCTTTTGCAGCCGCCCGGCGGTTTCAG